ATCGGCTTTCGTCAAAGCTGCGCCGAATTTCTGCCACTCTGTCGCCGTTGCGATGGCGCTCCTCGGATACAATGTAGCACGACGGTGGAATCGTTCCACAAGGTAACGTTTATATGTTGTCCGTATGTCTCAAGGGACTTCATAAGAAACGTCGCCAACCTAGTTGCAATCACCCCTCCTCTGTAGTTCGAGTTCAGGCAGCGTAACTTCCTGCAAAGGTGCTACTCTTTATTTAGCCAATAGGAGGGCCGTAGAGACGTTTTTGTTCTTTCCAACATACCTCAAGAAAGCGCAGGCTCCATAAGCTTTCTGAAAGGCTTGGCAAAACAGGTGCAGTTGCACAGTTCCATCTCCTGGAAAAGCATCTACCAAATGATTTTGTTGCGGTCTCTTGAATTTGATGAAATTCTGAGGACCATTTTTTACACTGTAAACCAAGGTCTTCTGGAAGGTCCTCGTCCCAATCAACTTTCATTTTCCACAGCTCTTGAAATAGCAGCTTCGCTTAAACGATGAAAGGTGCTATCAACCCATCGGCTCAAATATTCTTAATACCAGTTGCAGCACAGACCTCTTGCATGGTTTTTGCTCTGTCTACAAGAAGCCAAGCTCCGACTTTGCAACCATCATAACATCTGTTGACGGGTTCCATACAAGTCCGAGCACTTTCACGCAGTATGAAGAAACGGTTTCCTCAGTAGCAGCAAACAGCTGAGGTACGCAAGTTTGAGTTTGATGCCCATTTTTAGAGATGCATACCTGCCGATTCCATCATCTCATTAGCTTCTCGGTCGATTTTCCAAGCTCTGTTGGAGCTCCGATGAGAAGGTCACCCACGTACGATTCTGTTAAAGTCTAGGCTGTAGGCCGTAGTTAAAATGTAGTGTAGGCCTTGGATGGACGTCAGGTGTTGTCGCAAAGTGGCATTCAGTAGAAATGGGCTTGCTGCAGTTCCAAAGGGAACTCTGGTCATCCTCCACTTTTCAAGTTCAGGTTCAGGATTTGCTGTAGTTTACGTCTTTGAACCAGAGAAACTGCAGAGCATCTTGGCCTTCCTTTCCAATACCGATCTGTAGAAAGGCCTTGTCTATATCGGCTGTTAAAACATCCGGTTCATCCGGAATCGTATGAGAAGAGTCACCGAGTCAGAAAAAAGGGACCTTTTTCTAAGCATTGGTTCAGTGAAGAGTAGTTAGGAACATGTGCTGACGTGTTGAACACCGCACATACTCTTGTAGTTGTAGACTCACTTCGTACAATGGCAGCTAGCTCCTTCTGGTTCTTCGGACCCCCGTTCAGCATGTCCCATCTTGACAAAAGTGCTGATGGTCGACTCATATTACAGTGCGAAATCACTATTACGCTTCATTTTCTTTTTGAAACACAACCATCTCTTTAAAGCTTCCACTCTATTACTGTCAAATGTTCTGCCGTCAGCTTTGCATGAGAGAGCAACTTCATATCGACCGTCAACAAATGAGTTTTCTGTGAAACTCTTCTAGGACCAAAGCATTGCGTTTGGCTGCGCTGCCGTCTTCTGGCAATATTCCAATGCTTTCAAGTTCCCAGAACTTTCATAGAACCTTATCGGTCGCCTCACTGGAGGTGTTCACACGTACGCTCACTTGTGAGGCTACATTGACTTATGTACTGAAGAAGGGTGGCCCTTGAAACATTCACTCGAAGGTAGAACCAAGAGAGAAAGTCTGTTACCGAAGCGGCGTCAAATCTCTGCCGTCAAACTTCCACAAGTAATCTGCTCCAAGAACCTTATTTCAGGTGCAGTGGCCATTCCTGGGGAAAATAGCTTGTCAGCAATGGGGCAGTCACTGTGTTCGATTTCCCTTATGAATTCACTGGTACCTTACTACTTCATTGCAAATGAAGGGAATCTCAATCGCTTGAATAAAGTGTTCCGTGCTGTTGTACTAACTACACTATCAAAGTTCCACGATGCAGTGCAAGATCCTGTCTGTCCAAAGATCGAGGCTCAGGCTAATCTTCACCATTTCTTTCAAACCAAGCGTCTTAGACACATCTTGTATGATAGTGCATTGGCTACCACAGCCTGCTATGCCTCGGATGTAGGTGCACTTAGTGTTCCCTGTTCAAAGACTGGCGTATGAACTTCCTTGAAGGCTGTTTGTGGTGACTGTACTTGAGTTACTTGTATTTTCAGATAATTTGGGCTTCCATGTAAGGTCACATTGAAGACACATGTCGACCTTGGCATTTTACCTTTTGACACGTTTTGGCACAGTGACCTGCTACGGTACAACGAAAACAGCGATTGTCAGAAGTCTGCTTCTTCAATGTACCTTCTTTGCTGTTTTAGTAGGTACAGCCATCTGAAATATGGTTCGCTGAACCACACAAGAAACGCGCCTTGTTCTGTCTTTGAGGACGTGCACAGTGCTGCTCCTGTTAATGGATGAAAAGACTAAGGTATTCGACTCCAGGTCGGTTGCATTTCTTTTCAATACTTTCATCGCTTCACTCCCGGCTTTCTACTTCCTTTCGAAGGTACTTGGGCAAACCTTGCAAGTCCTCGCTTGCAGAAATTTCATGGCTGCTATCATGGGCTGAACAATGGGTGTTGCAGCCGGTTGCACTGTCACGGACAAATACTGGTCAAGTATCAGTAGTGCCTCTCTAGCCTTTAATTCTCCAAGCGGTCCTCTAGCTGCGTCTTGGTATCTCACGACTGCCTCAAACTCCGCCGCAAACTTTTCATCAGTAAAGTACTCTTCTATCATCTCGTTCAGCTTGTCCAATTCTGCGTTGTTCGCTTCCAGCATTTCGGTAAGTGACACTACAGTGGTGATGTTACTTTCTAAAGTGCTTTTAGCTTCATTATTGAGGCTCGTGTTCATTTGTCGACATGACGTGCACTTTTCTTTAAGACTGTTCGTGATCCCTCTCGTGGTTGCGAGTTCCAACGCTCACCTTCATTGAAAGTGACACTTTCGATGAGTCGGCATAACTCAGTCCCAGCCTGGCTTTCCGTTGCATCGCTGACATCTCTGTCACGGGAAATATCCTCCGTCTGCTTTCAGGGATGCTGTCTTCCAGTAGACAGAGTCCTGGCACGTGGAAATCCCGAGTTTCAGCACAACTTGAATAAACCAGACCAATTGAGAGTGATAAGGATATATTCACATTAGAGCATACTCTTGCACTGACAATGTTCATGGCGAACGCTGCAGCTGATCCTCGTCTTTCCTTTGTCCGCTCACGCTCTTGCAGAAAAAAGAATTCTACACGGGTCGCCGAAACTGCTCGAGCGTTTGCCTACCCATCTGCCAATCTCTACCATCGTGACAAAGGCGAGAATGCATGCTCACGTCAAGGCACGGACAACTTTCTGCATCGGAGGCGTGCGAGGGCCTGTCGCACCAAGTGTTCCCCTCGCTCTCTGCGTCTGTGCTGCAACGCACGCTTCGTCGATTTCGGAAGTTTAGGTTTTACCATTGGCCGACGCATTTTCACTGTTCCCTTGCGATGTGCTACAGTAATTACTTATACAGCGAAACTGAAGCTCGCTGTTGTAAATTTTGTCGAAGAAAACTGGAAGCGTGCCGCCGCAAAGCACTTGAAGGGGACGTACTTCACCGTGACGACCGGCGCAATCGGTGCACGAGAAAGAAGAGTGCGCACATGCCAATGCAAGTTTTCTGCCATTAAAGGAGGCCTTTGCAATTATGTGCGGATGCTTAGTTCTTCTGGCATCACCGTGTCACGGGACCAAGTTTCTCCCAGCATCGTCAACAGAGCTTCAAGAAAATGGGGCGTGCGAACATGCTGAACAGAACCGAGGGTCATGCGCTTCGGGAAAGCGGTGGCAGCGGCCGCGACGATTCCCAATCGGACTTCGCAAAAAGCGATTCCCACTAGACCGTGCGTGACCGGATCTGACTGGTTAAAGCAAGCGATGATCCTTTAAGTACACTTCCTTTAAGTGCCAATTAATTTTTTTTTTGTAAAAGTATATACTACACGTTAGGACTATGACAATAATGCGTATGTGCTACGAAATACACATGTAATTTGCACACGGCCTTGAAGTCGGGAAAAAAGTGTGCAAATGATGCAAGTAAATACGCTATTAGAACATCATTTGAAAAGGCTATTGGCACCAACACATGCGCAACCGTTCGATAATGACCCGTGCCTGTCTCCATTGTAACCTCTCTGGTCTCAAACACAAAACTGACAAAATACCAAGCACCTTGAATGCTATCCACAGAACATTCCCTAATTAAAAGCAATTGTGATGTCCTACTTTCTTGATGGCAAGAATCAACCACCACAGCATTACATCTGCAAGGAATAAACAGACAAAACTATGAAAAATTTACGAAGTAATTTTTGAATGCTCTTTCGTCTTATTTCTAAGTGCGCGGTAGAAATTAGCCCAAGTTCCCACTTTCATTATTGTAGCAGTGGCAACCAGCCAGCGAGACAAATTGTGCACCCCCCGCCTCCAATGTGTTGACATGCCAGAATTTATAACAGCCTTGTTTCTGCCATTAACACCTTGCTGCCTCCTATTGGTTTGTTGCCACTACCTTCAGATTGATATGTGGACTTTAACGTTCCAAAACCACCATACGTTTACGAGACACCATCGTGAACTCCAGAAATTTAGACCTACAGGGGTTCTTTAACGTGCACCCAAATCTGAACACACCGGCCTGCAGCATTTTCACCTCCATCGAAAATGCAGCAGCAGCCGCCATTGCTACTGTCTTCTGCAGATATTTCTAGATTGGTTGGTTCAAATGCAACTTAGGCACCGCACCCACAGACACTGCCAAGGAGAGCTTCCGATAAATTCAAGCTCCTGCGATTCGCCAACTTGCACCAGCATTAGACGGCACATCGCCTTCGAGCATTTCACTCATATATCAAATTGCAACCATTTCCACCAGGATCGAACCCACAAGGGGAAATTCGAGAGAAGTGAACAGTATGCATGTAAATAACACAGAAGCCAGGAGTCAAACCAGATGTCAATTTTAATGCCACCTCAAAATCATGAGCTCGACTGATAACACAAGGTCTACAGGCTAGATTGCTATACCTCCAAGTTGCCACTGATCCCACGCTGCCCCATTGTTCATACTCACCTCTGACAAGTCCTGAAAAAACTGCGTCCTGAAGCAAGACCATCGATTGTTTAGAAACAGCTCTAAGCTACACTCAAACCTCGATTACAACCGAGCAAATGCAAACTACTAGCCTCGAAATATAATGTTAGGAACATAGATTTTATAACGAATTTTCAGGTATCACGAACTTGTTTTCACATAAGATGTAACTGTTATGAGGCTTGATTGTATACCTAAATTTGATTGCCCAATGTTAAGTGAGAGTACACTGCTAATGCTATAAGTACTGCTTTATAATACCAGTACTTCTCTGTAAAAAGCTGCAGAAAAAGAGCCCACCAACCATCCCAAAGCTGCATCTAGTCCTAGCCACAACAGCCCACCCCACCATTCCATCCCACAGTTGTGCGCAACTCTTACGGCACCTGTTTGCATCCTGCCATGTGTGGATCCAATCCTGAATTCCATCCATTCCTATTGATCCAGATTCCACACACACGTGTAAACAGGTCCTGAACCCCTGCGTGTCAGTCCTCCTCCTCGTCAGGAGTGAGACCTTTGGCAAGAAAACAGGACAGGACGGTTAGCAAAGCAGAGTGGCATGAACGGCTCCCACCACCCCTATCCTCGCAACAAATTCACACAATTGTGCATAAAAACAAAAGGGGTACAACTCCCTTTCCTGCACTGCTTGGGTAGGGGACAACAGCTCTACAGTAGGCACCACTTGCACGATACAGCAAAAAGCCACAAAATGTTTTAATACAGCAGCATGGGGGAAATTGTAAGCTAGCGAGACCACCCTGCGGATGTTTAAAACACTGCACTCTGCAAATAAGTTGTCGCAATGTGTCCCAAGATAATATTGCTGCCTTAATAACAAGTAAAATGAAAATCAGCGACTCCCCTGTAGATGAACAAAATGTGCATTTCACACCCGAATGACTACATCATCGGACTTTGTTCCAAGCCTTGGGAGGAGAGAGCCACAGACTCTCGTCGTTCATCTTCAAAGGAGTCGCCTGTTTTTTCAAATCCAGGATCTTTGCCGGGCTTTGAGCCACCCTTACACTTTATTTGAATAAGAAAATGAGCTAGTGTCAACTACCATACTGTGCCTTAATCTAGAAAGTGCACCTTGATGTTTGCAATTTCAAAAGGGCACAACAGGGCTCGTTAGATAAGCATAGACAGTGAAAAAGAGAACAGGAGGTTAGTGAACGCTCGCACCCTGGGCATGTATCTTTTATAAGGCTACCGAGTCTTCTGGCAAAACAAGCATGAAGGATGGCAGATTACAAAGTGAAGCAAGCCTGGCCCGGCAGAGCCGTAAGATGCCTTCCAAAAGAGGGGGGAGCAAGTGAGAGCGCACGAGCCAACGCGACGGCGAGCGTCAATGTGGGGTTGGTTTAGGGAGGGGCCTACCCTGAAATGAGGCTCCGAATTCCTGATGGCCAATTCCGTCTCCCGTGTGCAGGATGCGTGCTGCTCCTTCCTATGCGCTACGCGGCGTGTTCTCCTCCTGCCATTGTGTGCAAGCCACTTCTCCCAGCGCCGTATTCCTCTTGCGCTCCCCGAACCAGCGCTTGCTCTACTGAACAAAACGTTTTTTGTTTTTCTCCCCTTCCTGCCGCGTGCGCCTTGCCAAATCCTCGGTAGGGCAGCACCACACCTTTTTTTCACAATCCACCCGCTAAGCTCCTCCGATCCAAATGTGAGTGTCTGCAAACATATCCACTTTAGTGATCCTCAGCGACGTGTGCCATCCTCCCGTTTTGTGGCATCTAGACAGACAAACAGATTGAGACAAGAGATGGGCATCGCCATTCACAAGACAAGTTTTTTTTTTTTTTTTGCTTTGCAAACAACACACCACAAACACTCATATCGAAATGTGCTTTTTGCTGCAGCTGGTGTAAGCTTAAGTGCTACCCGATTAAGATTGCATGATGTGCCAACATACAATGAACAGGCTGAAAGTGCATGTGTATGCATACGATTTCTACATGTGCGCTACTCTGGTGACAAGAATAAAGGTGAAAAACAATCTGTACATGGCTTGTCACAAAACGGGGGCTAATGAAATGGTGATGCAAAAATGACATTCCCACACTACAAAAGCGACAATTTAAGCAGTACTTGAATAAAGAACAAAAATTAATCTATGCATATGCACGAAAATCATTTGGACATAGAATTAGTATGACAGGTGCTAATTCTGACTACTCTAATAAAGCTGGAAGCCAGTTGCTAATGCTCAGCATCAATGATTGCCTGGGAACTCTACTTTGGAGTAAAAAATTTCTAACAGCGGACAGCTGACCTTCCGGATTTTGAACAATGATGGGATGGTACCCAATGCTACGGCCCGAAATTACACAGTGCAACAACACTTTGGATCAACCACAGCAATGCAAGAAAACAAAAGTAATGAAGCTACAATGATTCACAAAAAAAAAAAAAAAAAAACCCTGGTCGGAAAGGTTGCCTGTGGAGCGCACAATGCTGTCCATCGTACATCAGACCTCAAAATGTTCCCAGTTCAGTTGGAGTGCGAGCAGGAGCGGAGCGTGATGGTGTTCGTGACCCAGACCGGCGGGCTGGAGAGTACGTGGGAGAACCACGAGAGCGGCGTGGAGAGTAGCTGCGGCTTCGGCTGCGCGAGCGGCTGCTGTAGTCTTCACGCACCCTGATGTACGACACTTCACCCTGAAATGAATTGAGGAGCTCATCAAAACATCGCCACACACAGGCCCAAGTAAGTCGCAGCACCTTACAAACTCCCTTAGACTTGTAGACTGCCGTAGCACTAGCTGCAGTGCTGTCATTAGGCAAGCAAGGTCTCCAGATTACTCTAAGCAGCTGATGTTCTCCGAAGTACCGTATTTACTCGCGTAATGAACCCACTTGCACCAGTGCCATTGACAATCGAAACATTACCTCAAGTCATTATACAGTCGAACCCTGCTACAAAACGAAACAAATGGGTGTGCAGAAAAAATTTCGTTGTAGGGAAATAAATAAAGAATAAATATATATATATATATATATATATATATATATATATATATAGCTGATCTGAGCTGACAAACAAAGGAACGTTTATTCTCAAAATCCAAAAAAAATGGTCCACTGCTTCTTCTATCTTTCCCAGCAGCGTCACGATGCAAAAAAGCACGCCGAACAACGCCTACAATCGCATTCATAAACGTACACAAACAGTTGCATTAAGGGGGGACGCGGCCTTTGAAAACCGAAAAATCGCGAAAAGAGTCGATTTTTTGGCAACACCACATATTCGCGGCAGTATGTGTCATAAACTACCTTTTTTGTAAATATCAACGTCTAATTCGTCGCGAAACCATTTGAAATAAAGTTTAGAACATGCCGCGGCGGCCCTCAAGCGGCGCGCGAGCGCTCAAAATACCCCAACTTGGCGTGATCGCAGTTTCTCGACCGCTCGACGGAGCGCCGCCATTTTGGTGTTTTGTTTGTGAATTCTTGCTCTTTCAACCGGCACCTGCGTCGCCGGCGGCAGCGCAGGAGAGGAGCAAGCCGCTCATGATTGGAGGGCTCGCGAGAGCTTTCAAGTTTCCCGCGGCTGAGGCGCGCAGCTGGGATTGGGCGAAGCGCGCGCTCCCCAAGGACGCGGGGGAGCCCGCGACTGCCATTGGCTGCTGCGCGCGATGACGTAGCGCTCTTGCGCCATAATGCGGCCGATGCGCCGCTCGTCTGCTGCTCCTCTGTCCGGCGTCTTTGTGTTCCGCTTGCTTCCGTGTATCGTTGCAGCCGTGCGCATACTCTCCACGATTCAACTGTCTTCGAAACGATTTTCAACCTTCTTTACGAGACGATTTTCAACCGTCTTTACGAGACGATTTTCCAACCGTCTTTTACGAGACGATTTTCAACCGTCTTTACGAGACCGTTGGTTGTGTTTGCTCACGATGCGCCCAACGAAAAAGAAGACGCCTACAATCGTGTCGGTGCAAGGAAGCGAGCTATGAAGCTTGTCCGCGCGGCGAGGCTCTCCCGCTCGCACATGCGCCGACGGTACCTGTGGGGCAGCTTCTGCTTCATCTACGCAAGAGAGTGGTCGCATCGACGCGCCTAGCAACGGACTCCTGCTCCGCCGGTGCAAGAATTTGTCGTTACAAGTGCGTCTGGTGTCTCGTGCTCATCGACAGTGGCTTCCGCATCTTCTCTTTCGTCGGCCTCGAGTGCGATCGCGTCGTCAACTGTGCATTTGTGAACAAGTTTCCTGACGTGCGAGGAGAAAGAGGCGCCGGATCAACAACGCGCTGCTGTGCAAGAGAACTTGGCGCTATGCCAGCGACGGAGCGGAAATTTCAGGCAATGGAGCGCGGATCATGAAGCTGCCACCGCTACAAGTGAAGGCGAAAAATTTTTCCTTGTGCAAATGGATGCCCTAGACGACCTGCTATCTCGGACCCCGTGCCACCGTGTGCACCCGCGATTGGGATGAAGGTACGAGGAGGCACCCAACTTGGACTTGCTGCAAAGCTTGAGCTAGTATGCTTGCATGTGGAGTAGTTTCAAGCTCATGGAGTTCATCTCGTCAGGATGACACCAAAGGCCTTTGATGCGAATGTAAGAGCCATATGGCACAAAAATAGGCAAGGGACAAACAGCTCTCAACGACTTTTGGCAGCGATGAACGTGTCCCATCGTGGCCTCCATCACAAGACCTGTCAGAAGCACCTGAAGAAATTCAGGGAACCGCAGACACAATGCATAGAAAAATTTCTATGCAGAATCTGCTTCTGCTGTAAAAGCCACTTACAAAGAAATGGATCAATATTTCACCAAGGATATAACAGTTTGTTATGATGGAACATGGCACAAGCATGGGCACACGTCCCATATTGGAGTCGGGGCAATTATCGAATACCATACGGGCCTTATCTTGGACCGCCGTTGTTCTGTCTAATCAGTGCCTTGGTTGCCAAGTAGGGCCAAAGCCTGGAGACGCAGACTATGCATGCTGGCTGGAGAATCATGTGTGCCAGAAAAACACCGACTCTAAATCAAGGAGAATGGAGGTTGAGGCAGCTATCATCCTCTTTTCACGCTCACTGTCGAAGCACAAACATCCGTTACACAACGCTCGTGTCTGATGGAGATTGTGCCACCTTCTCTGCCCTTGTACAAGAAAATGTTTATGGACTGGTCCCCCATTTCCCAAAGAGGAATGCCTGAACCACGTTCAGAGAGGATGGGGACTTGCACTTCGCAACCTTGTGCAGAAAAGTGACAAGGCTTGGGAGGGAAGGGCAGGCTGACAAAGGCCCTCATCGACAAGCTGACAGATTATTAAGGCTGGGCCCTACGGAACAATTCCGATGATGTGGCTGCAATGCGGCGGGCAGTGATGGCATCGTACCACCATGTGACGTCGACGGATGAGGAGCCGCACCACGACTTGTGCCCAGAGGGTGCAGACTCCTGGTGTCGTCACAATGCCAGCAAGATTACCGGTGTTCCACCTCCGAAGCATTCGTACAAGCTGCCACGCTATGTTGCAGATGCACTTCTACCCATTTATGAGAGGCTCTCACAGGCTTCTCTTCTGCAACGCTGCCTGGGAGCAAAGACGCAGAATGCATCAGAGTCGTCTCACTCTGTGCTGTGGTCCCTCATGCCCAAAGAGCAGCATGCGTCACTGGTTGCTGTGGAGACAGCACTGCATGATGCAGTGCTAAGATACAATGCTGGCTGCTACAGGGCCACCCAAGAGCTAGCTTCATCAGTGGGGCTAACACCTGGCCACCGGCCATTCAACGGGCAGCCGAGAAAGATTCTCTGCGCTTGAAAAAGGCTAAGAAGCGATCCCTAGAGAAGATGGAAAGGCGGCAAGAAAGAGAGTGCCAAAGGACACCTCCAGTTACGCTGCAGGTTCATTTTAGAACTGCCTATGCGCTCAAACTTTCAAACGTCGTTTTCTCAAAATGACTTTTTGGCTAGTGAGGCTGCCTTATTCCAGCCATATCTCTGGAACCACTCATTGGATTTCCATAAGTCTTTTTTTATTATGTACATGAATAAATTTCTGAGGGGGTGACAAGCCCATTTTTTCAATATATTGTGTGTGTTATTTATTACATTTAATCAAAATTTGATTGATAATATCCTAATCACGAACACAAAGTTTGATGGTCTGCTAAAACTTTTCAGCAAGGAAATTCAAAAAAGGGCTCTGTTACCCCCTGGAGTGTTACCCCCCTGGAGTATCAATCTGGAATCATAGTTAATTTCACAGTTCCAGCACCTTTTGAAAGTTCTCCAGGCCTGGAATAAGAGAACCATGTGCACTACCCTGATATTTCTGCTGTAACTTGAAAACCAGTGAACATAACTTGATGAAATTTTGTAGTTCTTCTAATGCTTTTGCTATAAAATTTCCTGAAAATTTCATTAAGATATCTCAATAAACAAAAAAGTTGGTATCCGATGGTAGCCTCCCCCCTTAACACGTTAACACCAGCAGCTGTCCGCCGTCAAAGTGTCAACGCCGAGATAAAGGCATAGTATCGTGAAACGGAGACTTTTGCTTTATTCTATGCCATTCTTATCATCCATCGCTCACGGCTAGCTGATTTGGTTGATGATGTGGATGAATAGCCACTCTGATTAGCTACCACACTGGCCAAGCGCGAACATAATGATAAGTATCGGAATCTGAAAAGGCATCTAAAAAAGTTTTGCGGGAAAGCCACTCACCACCGGCGTAGGCGCAGTGCTTGCACTTCTGAGTACTAGCGTTGCTTTATTCATTTTCTTCGCTCTTTTCCTTCAGATTCTTATGAAGGTACGAGAAAAACTCAGTTGCTCTCGTCACGCCTGGAAGTCTTGATTTTATGTTTACGTTCATGATATGTAATAATAAAAAAAGTGTGTCAGCTCTTTGAACTAGTGATACATATGTATATTTATAGTAGGCCACACATTACTTCGGCTTCTTTAGCGCCGTTTTTCCCAATTGCCTAATATAAAACTATTTTTTACTCTTGATTGCTATTGAGCCACTTAGGAATAAAATATTTTCATCGCATTGGGTTCATTCGTTCACTGTGCGAGTTAACCAGTCAAAGCTTTGTAGTTTTCAACTAGAGCGAGCTGGATAGCGATCGAGCGTGGCCGTGCGACGCCCGCGTTACGCATGGCTCTGATATTACACTCGTATTACAATCGCGGCTCACGACAATGGATGTGAATTGTTGTTCAACAACCCTGTCATGTCCAACATTTTTTCTCCTTAAGGTTTCAAAGCTGCATTCAATTCACGCGCTAGCAGCAACACCTTGCCGATTCAAATAGTTCTAGTTTCAATTTTCTCTTTAATTTTAGCGTTTCAGCCGCCAGACAAATTTAGACAGATGCAGCTGACACACGTTGACCAACTACGCATGTATAACGTATTCACTACTGCATGTGTGCTTAATTCATAGCGAGCAAGTTTTGCAGTGCCGTAGATTAAAAAAAAAAAGAGAGGAAAGTGCATGAGCGTCAGCAGAGAAAAAAGAGGCACTTGCCCCACTAAAGCCACAGCAGCACTTAATCTCATTTAAGCTAGACCAGTGCTCTCATTCTCGCTAAGCCGAGATTCAACAATGGTTTGCATTCCCAAGAGAAAATACTGCCGACGACCATGGCCAAGCGTTTATTCCTTCCGACTGAACACTAATCTT